AAGTTAAAATTGTATATATTATCGCATTTAACTACTTATCTATTTATCAGCWTTTAGCATAATATAGATCAATGTAATAATAAATGAGTAGGTACCTACTTTTCACATTTTAAAATTTTAATAAATTACTATTAAAATAACGTTTAATCAAAACGTAATATTTCCAACAATTCTGTCAAAACGTGTTATTTCCGGAAATAACACGTTTTGAAAAAAGTGATTTTTAAATTTTACGAAAAAAACCATTTAAAATGCAAATAAAGATCGATTTTTCTTTACAAATAAATAAAATTCCGTATGTTTCACTCTTAAAAATAAATATAAAACAGTAAAACGCAAAACTTTAAGAGCTATAGATCAAAATATAAAAACCATTTTTATGAAGAACTGTGATTTTGGCAATACCACGTTATGACTTGTCGCCCTTCAATTATTTAATATTATAAAATCGTGAAATCGTACTTTTTTCTCGCTTTAACTGCTTTTATTTTGAGTACCGTTTCGAAAATCAAAAATGACCTCTCTAAAGTACCAGTTCAAGAACATTACCTTTCAGAAAAGATGCTATACTTGATACTTTTGAGCAAGTTTAGAGGGAGAAAAAGTGTTTACAGAATAAAAAGGAAAAATAAATAAATATATAATACAAACATTGGAAAAAAAGCGGCCCGCTGCACTTCAGTGGTGGGGGGGGGAGGGCATGGCCCCTCCCGGCCACCCTTGTTTCTTACAGTCAAATAAGTACTAAATGTATGAATCTCTAATACCTATAATATATTATATTATATAGCAATATATATTGTATTTGGTAATCGGGTAGGCAATAAACACACAATTAAACGTTAGCAATAGATTTTTAGGATTAAGGTAGGCAACTTTGTATATTTGTATACAAATTGACGATAAGCAATAGATTTTGGGAACCCTTGAATTCTCTTATCAAATATTGCTAGCGGACCTTACACGAATCATAGATGATATATACATGGATAGGACATCCCTATACCTATTATACACGGTATGCTGTGAGCGAAGAGTCTACTCGTTACCAAATTGGTTATATGCGGTTACAGATATTGGTTTATGATAAATAACATTTTTATCAATCTGATTTGTGCTAATTTTTAAATCAATACAATTATTAATTTCATTTTAATTCATTATTTATTTATTTATTAATATTATTTATTTAAAATGGTGTACAAATGTTTATATTTCGGTTCCAGTTCAAAAAATAATGACGAACATGCCTCTTGTTGCAACATTGCCGAACATTGTCTTTTCATTCGTTAGAATAAATTTTATCGAATTAATATAAATTTTTAGATATTCTATAATTATTATTTTTTTTTTTTTAAATTCAAGATTCCCAAAAGATCAAAGACGATATTTATGGCTAGATTCTTTAGGCTGAGTAACGCAGGAAAGTGGGACAAAATATGTTCTAAGCATTTTAATTCTCAACATTTTATGTTGGGTGTTTCAAAAAATACATTATTGAGCGACGCAGTACCTATGCCAACTGATTATAAGAATAGTGATATACATATACTTGGACATCAGAATGTTTCACGAAATAAAAAAAAT